GCAATTTTTTTTTTTATACACAGTGCTTTAGGAAACTAAATGTAATTTGGGTAATGTCTACATTCCCGCTAATTTTTGTTCCAAATATTTTAATAAAATTTTCAAAGAGTACATACAGCAGAGTACATTTACTTTAATTTGAGATGTGCTTTCTTTTTTCCCCCCAGACGATAATATCTGATTGGTTATGGTAATTTAATAGAGAATTATTTTTACACAATACAGCCATCTAGTGGTTATCTTTCACATCTCATTCACTCTTTTATTATATTTCTACTGCTCTATAAAACACTGTGTGAATCAATGCATTAATGGACTACCAGTAACTAAGACATTTTCAAAACTATTCCAAATCCTTTACACACCAGTTTTTCTGAAATCTGTATGCTATATTATTTTTTTTAATAAACTAGAGGAAATGTCCACATTATACTGTGTATGTTATGCACGAGCAGACTGGGATTATATCAAAAAGAAAGTATTTCGGGTTTTTGTCCATAAGATTCCAACATGACATTGTACCAACAGCATCAAAGGTTGCCCTTTCACCTGGTCCAGGGGCATGTACGCCTGTTGGGTCCCTCAGGTCTTCATTACAGAGAGCAGCTCATGCAATGATTAGCACATTGTCCTTAGGGGATGTGCTACCTGCCACAAATAACACAGCTTTATTTGTCTGAATAGCTGCAAGTCTCTGAGGCCTTCATTATATTACACACATCTGTATTTAATATCACTCACTGCTACAAACACTTCCTAAAAAGTAGGCTGTGCTCCATGTACAGACATTTGCCATAAGGCTGACCCAGACTAAAGAACTTGATCTCCCTTCTGGGTGCCAGAATACATCCAAAGAAACTGATGTGAAAAAAAAATCCTATTAAAAACAAAATAAGGAATTACAATTGGGAAGTATAACTCAGACAAAGGCAGAAAAACAGTAAAAGTGTATGTGACTGTCCAACACTTTATATCCTGTCTTGTAAAAATCTAAATAAAATGTTATACAGCACATTGAACTAACGATAGCTTAAAGCCAAAAACAAAAATGTATTTTGTTCCAGCTTATCAATCCTTCGATGGCTGCAAAAAATTTGTTTAGACTTTATTTTCAGCTGGTGATCCTGCCAGTAAGTCTGTTTTTTACGACATCCTTTAACCTCCCTAGCGGTCTGATTATGTCAGTATTTCTGTGCTCAAAGCGGTACATTGTACAATGGAAATATGATGTTTTTTTATTCTAGGCCTGTAATTCTTAGGAATAACTCACTGAAATCTGTCTGAACAAGAGTCTAGAAACACCCCGGGTATGATAAAATTTGAAAAACAAAATCATAAATTATAATATAATAAATAATCATAAAAAATAATAATATAATAATAATAATAATAAATTTACATTAATAATGTAATCAAACCAAAAACACTGAAATTTGAAATATAGCGCCAAGTTCGCACATCACTGAGCTTAGTCGCAGTATCGTTTTCAGTGTCTGATGACGAATTTCCCCACGAATCATTATAACTCAATTCTGCAAGTAGTTCTAATTTACTATCGCTGTTCTCTAGCTGGTCTAAAACCGCTTTTGACATAAAGGGACGCTTTTTTGGACGCCATGGACGTTTCTCAGTTTCCAGGCAGAAAGAACAGTAAAAATGCAGGCAGGGCACAAAACAAAGCACTAGGGACAAAATGTATGTGAAATGGTTTGATACAGTAATGTTATACTATCAGATTTTAGTGTATTGAGTGAATGTAAAATTTTTCCATTTTTGAAATTCCCGCCGGTTCCGTCCCCCATACGTCCCGACGCTTGCAGGGAACGGAACCCGAAAGACGGATGCCGACATCGGCCAGAGGACATGGCCGGAGACGCTGCAGAGGGGACATTGCGGGAGCGCAGGACAAGGTAAGTGCTGGAGGGATCCCAGAGCAACGCTGCAGTGTAATTCCCAGTGTAGCTCGGGGGTTACCACTTGTGGTACTGAAAGTTAACCCCGAGCTACACTCAGAAATATCGCCAGGAGGGTTAACAGATCATGCTGTCCAGCAAACCCAGGAGTTAGCGCATGAAGACAAACTATTTAACACTGAGAGGGGTGCTTACAATGGTCAGTTTTTATTAATTTATGTAAAACCTTTATGCCAAAAGGGAAAAAAAATCTTTTGCTGTAGCAGTTTGGCTTTAACTTGTTAGTCAAGTCCATCTAAATCTACTAAAGCATCTAACACTGTCCTCTCACAGACTGACAATGCTGCTGCCCAAAGGTGTCTTCATTGCCCCTTCGTCCAGAGTGGAGACACCCCAAGTCCCCTTCTGATCAGGTCTGCCTGGTGGGAGTAAATTAACTTGTGTCTGTATACACCAGCCTATCTCCAATCCGATCCAGTCTGTTAAGGTCTGGTCACATCTTTGCATTTCTGCAGGCTGTGTTTGTTCAGGCATGACAGCCCATTCATTTGAATAGGTTAAAGTGCCTGCGTTTCCTGCAGAAAAATGTGCATGCGCCTTTTTCAAAATGTGCTCCGTAGGGATATCACATGGTTCTTTTGACCATGCGATTTCCCTGCGGTTCCTGCAGCTGCAAATGTGCTACGTTTTTACATGCATGCGTGTGCCATTCAGAATGAATGTCAGACCTGTTATTTTTCTCACAGCAGCAAATTTTCACTGTGGGTGATTGTGGGTACGAGAATCGCTGCTATTCCCGCACCCGCATCCACCCGCATGGATGTGAACCAGGACAACAACAAAAAAAAAAGTAAGTCACTGATCGCCGCCATTACTAGTAGAAAAAAAAAAGAAGCCCAGTATATATAACACTATTTGTAAATGCTATAACTTTCACGTAAACCAATTAATTTACACGTATTGGGTTTTTTTTTTAGCAAAGACGAAGCAGAATACATTTTGGCCTAAATTTATGATGAAATTTGATTTTTTACATTCTTTTACTGGATATGTGTAGCCTCCCTGGCGGTATTCCCGAGTGTAGCTCGGGGTAGAATTTCAGCACCACAAGCGGTAACCCGAGCTACACTCGGGCTTACCATGAGGCACTGCTCCGGGATCTGTTCTTCTCTTACCTTGTCCTGCGCTCCCACGATGTCCCTCCTGTATTGTCCTCCGGCGGATGCAGGCATCTGTCATCTGTGTTCCGTCCCCTGCGACGTCGGGACGGAAAATGACAAAAAAGTGACATTCACTAAATTCACTAAAATAATATAGTAAAACATTACTGTATCAAACCATTTCACATACATTTTGTCCCTAGTGCTTTGTCCTGTGCCCTGCTTGCATTGTTATTGTTCTTTCTGCCTGGAAACTGAGAAACGTCCATGGCGTCCAAAAAGCGTCCCTTTAGGTCAAAATCGGTTTTAGACCAGCTAGAGAACACCGATAGTAAATCAGAACCACTTGCAGAATTGAGTGATAATGATTCGTGGGGAAATTCGTCATCAGACACTGAAAACGATTTTGCGACTTTGCTCAGTGATGTGCGAACTTGGTGCTATGTTTCAAATTTCAGTGTTTTTGGTTTGATTATATTATTGAATTAAATGTATTATTATTATATTATTATTTTTTTATAATTATTTATTAAAGTATAATTTATGATTTCGTGTTTCAAGTTTTATCATACCCGGGATTTGTACTACACTCTTGTTCGGACAGATTTCAGTGAGTTATTCCTAAAAATTACAGGCCTACAATAAAAAAAATACATATTTCCATGCACAGAAATATGGACATAATCAGACCGCTAGGGAGGTTAATAGCAAAAAGTCAAAAAAATATTGTTTTTTTTTTCTCAAAATTGTCAGTCTCTCTTTTTTATAGCGAAAAAAAAACCACACAGGTGATCAAATACCACCGAAAGAAAGCTCTATTTGTGGGAAAAAAGGCCGTAAATTTCATTTGGGTGCAGCGTTGCATGACCGCGCAATTGTCAGTTAAAGTAACGCAGCGCCGTAATGCAAAAACTGGCCTGGTCAGGAAGAGGGGTAAATTCTCTGGAGGGCAAGTGGTTAACTAATCCAGTTGTTTTCAAATATTATTTTCAGGTAATGCTCTCATGTTTGTGGTGGTAGGCGGAGGGCTTTTGACGCGAACACTGATCTGGCAGGTTGGAAATCCAGTTTAAGGAAATGAAAGGGAAATGAAAGGGGCTGGTGGAGAAGGTCGCTATTTACTTAGTAAGATATTATGAGGATTGGGAGTACAGGTGGATTTAACCACTAGCCTACAGGGCACTTATACCCCCTTCCTGCCCAGGCCAATTTCCAGCTCTTAGTGCTGTCACACTTTGAATGACAATTGTGCGGTCAAACAACACTGTACCCATATGACATTTTTATCATTTTTTTGTGACAGATAGAGCTTTATTTTGGTGGTATTTAATCACCTCTGGGTTTTTTATTTTTTCTTAAACAAACCAAAAACCACTGAAAATTTTGAAAAACAAAACGTTTTTTCTTAGTTTTTGTTATAAAATTTTGTAAATAAGTGAATTTTCTCCTTCACTGATATGCGCTAACGAGGCTGCAGTGATGGCCACTAATAAGATGCACTGATGGACACTGATAGGCGACACTGATGGGCACTAATGAGGAGGCACTGGTAGGTGGCACTGATGAGCATTGACAGGCATCAGTGATGGGCACTGAAAGACAGCACTGATAGGCGGCACTGATAGACGGCACTGACTGGCACTGATAGGCGGCACTGGCTGGCACTGATAGGCGGCACTGGCTGGCACTGATAGGTGGCACTGACTGGCACTGATAGGTGGCACTGATTGGCAGCACTAATAGGTGGCACTGATTGGCATTGATAGGTGGCACTGACTGGCACTGATGGGTGACACTGAAAGGCAGCTCAGATGGGCACGGATGTGCACTGGTAGGCACTGATATGTGGCATTGATGTGGCACTGATGGGCACTGGCAGGTGGCACTATTCAGCACTGACAGCTGGCACTGATGGACACTGACAGGTGGCACTTCTGGGGCCACACTGATCATCAGGGCACACTGATCATCAGTGCCCTGATGATCAGTGTACCTGTCCCCTCCACGGAATGCCGATTACCAGCTCTCCTCTCGAGTTGTCAGCGTGACAGCTCGAGAGGAGAGAAATGTCGATAACCGGCATTTCCCTGTTTACATGTGATCAGCTGTGATTGGACACAGCTGATCACATGACTGAGCCGACATCTTCGGCTCTTTCCGTGGATCGGTGATCCGCTGTGTCCGAGGGTGAGAATGGAAGTACGTCATATGACGTCCTATCAGAACGAGAGAACCACCTTGCGCTGTCATTGGACTATATGGCGGGCGGGACGTGGTTAAGGAACTGTTTTAATCTCGGCACATGCATATTTTTTCTTCATACCAGCTTTTCAAAATAACAAAATGGTATCATTTAGAGGTTGAATGAAAAGATTTATGTAATATAACACATTTGATAAATAGTACATTTTTATAGAGGTCTATACAAAATACCAAAAGCAGTCTAACACACCCTTTACACCCTTGAGCATTGCTGATTGGAGAGCAGTAGTTGTGACTGTGTGGGGACATGTATTACTGTTGGTGATAGACTGATACTCTAACCTTGCCTAAGCTATGGAACGTGAGGATACAAGAGCTTTGATGGTAGAGTGTTCATTACAACGAGGACGGAAATTTTACAAAATGGCATTTGGTCATGGTAGGTCAAAAAAAGAGGGCAGTTTGGTAAGTACGTGTAAAATAAAGTCAAATAACTGGCTTATGAGTTGCAAACAGTTAAAGTCAAAGTGATTGTAAACGTTCATTTTTATCAAAAGTAAAATAACAACATTATCATATTTACCTGCTCTTTGCAATGGTTTTGCACAGAGCAGCCCCAATCCCCTTCTTCTCAGGTCCTTCTCCTGCACTCCTGGCTGCTCCCCTCTGCTGAGTGCCCCATAGCAAGCCACTTGCTCTGGAGGCATTCATGCCTGCTCTCTCCGCAGCTGGCTTTGTGTGTCCATTGACACACAGAGCGTGGCTTGACTTTTCCCCCCAATGCCCCAAGCCAATGGCTTCCGCTGCTGTCTCTGAGCCAATGAGAAGGGAGAGAGCCACTACTTTCGTTCACGTTGCTGAATCAAGATTGGGCTCAGGTAAGTATAATGGGGGGTTGGGGGACGAAGTGGCATGCAGAATTTTTTTTACCTTTAATCACTTTAAGCATATTAACCTGAACTCAATGTTTTAGTTGATTGCAAGCCAGTGAAGAGACTGGAATTGAGGGGTGATTGATGGGGAGAGAGGTATAAAAAAGTCTCTGTTGATCTTCCATATGGTGATCACACATGCACAGAACCTTTCTATTCAACTTTCTCCTGGTAGTAGACACTTGGAAGTCAGTTGTATCGAACCCCGTGGGAAGCAACTATGTCGGTGTGGCTGCCCCATGGAAGAATAACTGCAGGCTGTAAGCAGCCCCAGAGACCGTAGGCATTATTGCAAGGTGAATATGCATCTGGGGATTGGGGGTAAAAAGGATAAATGTACTTTGTTTGTAAGTGCAGTTATCCCTATAATATTTTGTTAGGTCTTAGCCAGCAAATACTGTATAGTAGTTGCAGTAGAAGAAGTCAGGTTCAACTGGAAGTTAAAGCAGTACTAATCCCAAAAACAAACATGTAATATGTTGCAGCTTACGGTTCCTTAGATGTGGTGGGTGCATTTGTTTCCTTTTTTCAGGCTTTTTTCCCTTTATTTCACCTGGTGATCCAGCCAGTAACACACTCTCTGCTTTAAAGTGTTACTGAACCCAGGACCCTGCATTCACTATATCTGGTCTCCCACAGTACACAGAACATGGAAATGCAATTATTTTAGTAAATATAAACTGCTAAATACCTTTTCTCATCAGCAGTTAGAGCAGTCTTGTGACTTCAGCAGAGCACTGGGTAAAGCTTGTAGGAGCAGTTTTATTTCTGCTTTAGGGAGGATGTGAAACCCCTGACCCTTTGTCTGGACAGTGCTAATTGGCCCTGTGCTGAACACATGCACTCTCCTAAGAAGAAAAAAAAACCTCTCTAGCAATACACACCAAACTGAGCATGTGCATGTGACTAGGGTTTCAGTCTGTATCAGGTGGTCATTTCAACAAGAGAAGGGGCAGAGAACAAAGGATCAAGCAGCCTTTTTATACAATGCAGACGATTAACCCCTTAGGTTCCACAGTGAGCATAACAAGCAAGCTTTACTTCATATACAGACTGATTTTACTGTTGTGGGTTTAGTAACACTTTAAGCCTAGTACACACGATGAGAAAATCGTAGGAAAAATACCACTTTCAAAGTGATTATCAGATAATCTGATGGTTAGTACACAGCTTTCAAGAGCTGATCTCAACATTAGAACTTATCTGAAGGGACAGCACAAAAATGTTTCTTACGATAACAGAACAAACGGTTTTTGTTTATTCAGTACAGTAATCGTCCTTAAAAGAAAATCGAGTGACCAAGACCACGCATGCTCAGAAACGAAAGAATATTACAATACAATACATTAGACCACTTCTGAAGTTGTATTCTGTCGTACGGGAATTTTCATAACTATAGTGACCTATTCATTTTCTATATGAGATTAGAATGGGAAAAAAAATGGACGATCATTCGTCTGCTATTCTCATCGTGTGCATGAGGCTTTAGAGTGTCCAATTTATGAATGAAGTAATAAAGCAGATGCCTTTGGACAGTGCGATTGTCAGTCTGGTGAGAGGGTAGTGTTAGACTAGCAGATTTAGATGGGCTTGACTAACAAATTGAGGCTGAACTGTAGCTAATACTTTCTAAGCAGTTACAGCAAACATTTTTTTTTTCCTTTTGTTAAAGTTCTTACATACGCATATGAAGAAAAGCTGACCATTGTAGGCGCCCCTGTCAGTGGCATATGGTTTGTTTCAATCTTCTAACTACTATTTGTCTGGGTAACTTGGTCTGCTAAAGGAAATTGAGAAATAACCGACTTACTGACTGGATCACCAGGTGAGCTGCAATTTAAAATATAACTAATGGTAAAACTTTTTTTTTAGTTTTGAACAGAGTGGAGAGGGATTAGAATCCCTGTCAGTTTTTATCGCTGTCTTTGTCCACGATAAGGAGATTCACCCTCTCTATTTGTACTGTTTACCATTATCATTGAAAGTGAAAGTAAAAGTCCCCAGGAAAGTAATAGAGGGGAAATCTTCCAATGGGGACATTAGTTCTGGTGACCTGGGGGGTCCCCAAGGAATTCCCATAATTTGCAGGGATTTCTTCTCACTTCCTGTTTGGCTATGGGACAGGAAGTGAAGGGAAATCTCTGCAATGAGACAGTGATGATGAAAAAAAATCTGACAGGAATTATAACCCTCCCTTGCTCTATCCAAAATGAAAATAAAAACTTTTGCCTATAGTTCTACTTTAATACATGTTTTTCTTTGGGTTTAATACAACTTTAAATATGGCAAGACAGTGTAGGCTGGAGGCATCAGAAGATACAGTATGAGTTTGGAAAATATTTTTATCTGTGCTGCCAAACAGCTGTATATTTACAGATGGTTTGTGAAAAATAGGCACTTATCTCCTATCCATAAATGTCTGTGGACTGGAGAAAAGGACCTATAAAAAATCCCCTTGTCATCAGCTCTGAACTGTGCATGCACACTTCTGGAGCCAGCCTATTAGAGAACTGCTGGTCTCAGCCTCAGATCGGGCAGCAGGGCAGGTCCAGGTATGCACCTACACAATGACATCATGGTGCTTATCGAGCATGGCTTATATTCACGCGTCCAACCAGTTTAGGCTGAGTAATTGGCTGGCACCACAACTAGGCATGTGCAGTTCAGAGCCAGAAACAAGGGGATTATTTTTAAAGTCTTTTAACGCCAGACACCTGCCAGTGATGAAGGTATGTGTGAGAGGACACTTTGCCAGACTCTTTAGTAAGCGACTGTGCTGTTTTGTGGAACTCTGATGTAAGGTGGTGGCCCTCTGGGTACATTGATACATGGTGGGACTTTAGAGACATGGATGTAAGGGAGGACTCTGATGTAAGGTGGTGGCCCTCTGGGGACATTGATAAAAGGTGGGACTCTGGAGACATGGATGTAAGGGGGGACTCTGATGTAAGGTGGTGGCCCTCTTGGGACACTGATGCAAGGTGGGACTTTGGAGACATGGATGTAAAGGGGGACTCTCATGTAAGGTGGTGGCCCTCTGGGGACACTGATGCAAGGTGGGACTTTGGAGACATGGATGTAAGGGGGGATTCTGATGTAAGGTGGTGGCCCTCTGGGGACATTAATGCAAGGTGGGACTTTGAAGACATGGATGTAAGGGGAGACTCTGATTTATAGGGGGAATGCGAGGGGCTTTGAGGTAGGGAAAGACTCTGATGTGAACATGGTGCTCATCTTGACTGCTGTATTCTATATGTTGTTTTGTTAATTTTTCACTCCTAACCCCTGTACACTGTACATTATGCACAGATATAAACAGACCTGGCCAAGGTGTGCCTTGTCTCATCTGTTGCTGGTTTTAATGAAGTTCTTTAAAGAAGGCTCAGCCCATGCACCAGTCTTTTTATTTTTGTTCAATCTGCGGGTTGAACAAAAAAAAATGACTCAATTCCCCCATCCACACATTTGACACTGCCCTGCTAGTCAACTGTACTCTGCTCTGATTCCTGTTTGTGTACACTGTTCTGCTGACTTCCCATCCCCTGCCCTCCTGACATTTTTTACTGCACCCTCACATCAGACCCTGCTTGGGTTTGGACCAGGGGTGGACTGACAACTCATGGGGCCCCTGTGTCCTCGCCCATACTCAAACCTCACCCAAAAAAGCTTATGAAAGGTACCAGGGGCATTTCATGGAGCCCCCTACTAACCCCAGGCCCGAATGGTCAATCTGCCCCCTGGTTTGGACCTATCCTGGAAGGAAGCTGTCACTTCCACCCAGTGCTGCCAAATCAAGTGCACTCAAGCTATTACCTGCCCCTCAGCTGCAAATATACAAATGGGTGAGGATGCTTATGAAATCACTGATCTAACATGGCCATCTTGCCTTATTAGGCCAATGATGTCACAAGTATCCCTGCCTACACATTTTTCTCAGCACAGGTTTCTCTTCAGATATTCTCCACTTTTATATTGGGAAATATGCTGCTCATTGTAGGAAAATAGTGAAGCAAGTGTGCAAAGCTGGGAATCGGTAAAGTAGTACTGTGCAGGACTAA